CCTCTCAACCCCCTCAGAGTTCAGCGCCGACCCCCCCTGAAGTCTACTCTAAACCTCGGATGACGATAGCTCCAGGCCCCGCTCCGACCCCCCTTAAAGTCTCCTCTCAACCCCCTCAGAGTTCAGCGCCGACCCCCCCTGAAGTCTACTCTAAACCTCCTCCTTGGCTAGCTCCAGGCCCCGCTCTGACCACCCTTAAAGTCTACTATCAACCTCCTCAGAGTTCAGCACCGACCCCCCCTAATCCCCCCTCTCAACCTCCTCAGAGTTCAGCTCCATCCCCCCCTAAAGTCTCCTCTCAACCTCCTCAGAGTTCAGCCCCGACCCCCCCTATATTCTCCTCTTTTTCTTATGTGGTGCCCGCCCCCGCAAAACCATATCGGCAAACAGTCACGATGCGCTTCCACGAAAGTGCCCACTCAGGTAAACACTTTTATTCTATTTTTACAACCTTATTTTTGTAGTTTTTGCACAAAATGTACTCAAACAAAAGAGCACGTTACTCCCAGATAATATTGACAAAGTAAAAAATCCCTGTTGTTCTTAAGTCAGTGAAGTGAGTGTTTATCTGTATGGCAAACATATTTCCCCTTTCTGTGTGGTTGCAGTGACCGAAGGGAAGGTCGACCAATCAGCTGCCTCCTCTTACCGGCCCGCAGGTAAGGCTCCTGAATTTTGCGCTAATCGACATATTGTTAATTCAAGATTCAAAGAGTTCTTTTGTCATATGCTCAAAGCTACAGTGTAGAAATGGCAATGAAAATCTTCTGACCTGAGCTCCTCCAACGATGCAACATATATAATAAAATACAAACATATAAAATAATAAATAGTGCAAGAAGTCTATATTCACTAGACCCTCCAGAAAAACGCGGGCAAAAATCCTTGATTATGCGATTAAAAATGCGGGGTTTTATGTGATTTTATGCGGTGAAATTGCGGGAAGTTGCTAAATATGCTAAATATGCGGGAAAAAAGAATAACAATTTTTTTAAATATTGGGCTGTCTTATTTATTCTCTCTCACACACACCCTGCCACTAACGTTAAACCCCTTTACTATTCAATTAAACACATTCAATGTTTATTTATTGTAAAAGCAATTGGGCTATTTTAATCTCTCACACACACA